GTGAGTTGTAATCCGTGTGATTAGGGCGAGTTTTTTAACGTTCTCGATAACGTAGAAGTTAACTCATATTTGTATGGAGTTGGAACGTTTGCCTACGTTTCCCGCTAGGGGCGCTGTTCCAACTCAATACAAATTTGAGTTAACTTTTACGCTATCGAGAACGTTAAAAAGCTCGCACTATGAACACTGAAGTCTGGCGAAAACCGCTCGGTGAATTTAACTAAAAATAATAATCTTGTGGAATCTCTCGCTCTACTCCAGGTGTGGAGTGGATACGCATCATGAATGCAGGTCCAAGTTCCAACCAATAGCTATTATAGCAGACATTTCCTTTCGATTTTCGTGGAGAAAGAGAACTTATATCTCAATTGGCATTTATGTATAGTGCGTTTCAAATAAGCATGTGCACGTCAATGACCTTGATCTGTCAAAGTCCAATAAAAAAGTATGGACAGCAACAAAAACATTTTTTATTTACTATTTTTTAGTGATTTTTTTCCCTAATTATGAAGACTATTAAATATGTTTGTTTTAATGAACCATACTCTATATCGTTTTCTTGATATGTTGAGTACTAGTTGAGGTAAATTAAACATGAATTCAGATTATATTATATATAAAAAAACACATATTTTAAAGTCAAGGCTGCAACACCGTCGCGACTTATAATCTACTAGCGACCCGCCCTCGCTTCGCTTCGGAAACATTAAAACACACATGAAACCAAAAAAATAAAATAAAAAAAAAATAAAAAAAAGTAGCCTATGTTCATCAGGGACAATGTCGGCTTCTAATGGAAAAAGAATTTTTCAAATCGGTCCAGTAGTTTCGGAGCCTATTCGAAACAAACAAACAAACAAATCTTTCCTCTTTATAATATTAGTATAGATGGATGGGCGACGATGATGATGCTTACTCAAGCAATGGGATGAGTAGAATCGGCAAACTNAAAAAAAAATAAAAAAAAGTAGCCTATGTTCATCAGGGACAATGTCGGCTTCTAATGGAAAAAGAATTTTTCAAATCGGTCCAGTAGTTTCGGAGCCTATTCGAAACAAACAAACAAACAAATCTTTCCTCTTTATAATATTAGTATAGATGGATGGGCGACGATGATGATGCTTACTCAAGCAATGGGATGAGTAGAATCGGCAAACTCGAAGATTTGGATTATCTCTATATATATAGAGATATTTTATATAAAAATGAATTGCTGTTTGTTAGTCTCGCTAAAACTCGAGAACGGCTGAACCGATATGGCTAATTTTGGTCTTGAATTATTTGTGGAAGTCCAGAGAAGGTTTAAAAGGTAGATAAATATGAAAATGCTCGGAATTAAATAAAAATAACAATTTTGTTTTTCCTTTGATGTGTCCCCTGTCGGTCTTTTATTTATCGGTTGAAGCACTACGAAGTCTGCCGGGTCAGCTAGTAAATTAATATTTAATAATGTCGACCTTTTTCTACTGACTTTACCTAATTTTTTTTGATTTGACAGCTATGACATCACAATATGGCGCAGGTTCAAGCACATTCTTATTTGAAACGCATCATACGTCATTCATGTCCATAAGCTTCATAGTTTAATACTAATAAAAAGTAATATTAATAACTTACCTGTTAGAATTGAGTTCTTTAACACAAAAACACATACACACACGCAAAAAAAAACAAAACAAAAAAACATGCAGAATAGATTCATGCATACTTTTTAAGTGAGAGAATGCTCTCACCGCTCGATCTTAATGGGGTATCTTCAACACAAAAGACCAATGAATAAAACATAATATAATCCGATCAGTGAAGAGGTGGTTAAAATGGTTTTATTTTCACTACAGATAAAGGTCGTTATTTTGTACAATGACGTCACGGTTTCAAACGAAAAGAGGTAGTTGAAGAAGTTTTTTTGTTATGATATTTTCCCAATTTTCAAACTAAATAGTTTTCCTGTATAGTTGCAAAAATGTCGCTCAAACCAAATATCCTCCTCCATCTCTAGACTTTTACGGTTCGTTTCACGCAGAATTATCCAGCAGGGGTTTTGGGGTCTGGCCATTAGTTTCACTTTGGTTTTCTTCTTCACGTGGCTATTAGGGCGGGTGATGACAATTAGGGTAGCTTTATTTCGCATCGCTAAATCACACAAATACGCGCATTCGGTGATTTTTTTGAGCGATTTCTCTTGTTAATACGCTTTTATTAGCTTCAGACGTATGTATGTTTGTAACGGAATCCTTGAACATGATTTTGACCCCCTTCAAAACGCTGGATTAACTCGAAATTTGGTATACTTATTATGGACCGATGACAATTCAATATTAAAAAATAATTGAAAAAAAATTATGAAAAATTTAAAATTCAATTATTTTTTTTAGTTGGATTTTCTATAAAAGCGTATTTTGTTAGTTTTTTTTTAAATTATTATTTATTTTTCGAATCAAACTCGTCGTAAAGGTCGCTCAGTGAGCAGAGGCCTTGCAATTATACATGGAAACGTATGATATTAGCAGAGAAACATATTAGTAATTAGCCTTGCCCATGGAGCTATAAGGAAACTAGATTTCCGTTTTAATTGGCACCAACGGGCAATTTGCGCTAAGACGTGTGACGTAGTTAACGCCTCACTTGCGATTTGAGGTTTGATGGTAAACTGTACGGTTCGGTTATTGAAGAATTTTTCTGTGCTGGACTTGTGGATTCTGGGCTCGGTTGGAACTTCAGTGGTGGTCCATGGATATTGCAACGTGGATGATCTACATTGACGAGTGCTTTGAACGAGCTAGCTATTAGCGCGGTCCATTGTAGCTATTCGCAGGGCTCCAAGCAGCGCCACACGACCGATATGAATTGGTACAAATCTCAATACCTAAGAACGCCTGGCCAATCTTTTGTTTTTGGGCAGAGGACCGAATCTCCTAGGAGGTGTCTACGCCTAGAGGGCACGTAAAGGATTTGACGGCTTGCTTTGTTGGGAGCGGAGTCTGGTAAAGCTAGCCTAACCCTCCGAGGAGGAATAGGTAGGCAAAAAAATAATACCTCAGATTCAGAGTCTATCAAATTACGGCTACACGGTGTATAATAGTATTATGTCCGATCTTTGCCAGTCATAGACCCAATTGGAAACTATTCTATGGTTTAATCTTGCGTTTGTAACTTATAAAAAATGTGGGATGTTTCCAATTCCGATGTATTTTTTGTGATGTGTGTTATAACAGAATATTTTCCTAGATTAGCAGATTTTGTTGTTGATTCTTTTGTTTTTTTATTGAAAACCTATGCTTCTTGTGTGGTTCACATTTTATCAAGATCCGACCGGTGGTTATTGAGTTATATTTAATAATGCTTTTCTAATTGTTTTCGAATACATTAATGATGTTCTCATTTTATTCTGTTGAAGTCGGGTTATTTCTGTTTCTTTATTTGTTTTTGGTTAAAATTATATGTATTTTTGATTGTCTTTATAAAATAATATATTTCCGACGTTTCCAATACTTTACAGTTTTTCTGGTCGGGGTCAGTCGTCCGTGAAGTCTTACTGCCATATTGTAGTTTAATGCTCGATTTGTGGACGATTTCGGGGCCCATCTGGCGTTAAGTGGTCACCGGACATCCAGAGTATGAGGTACGAACGCTCCAGCCTTCGAACCGAAACGCATTATTCACCTACCCGTGCGGACTCACAAAACCCTCTACCACACGTGATTACGAAAATTATACAAACTTAAGTATACATAATGAATCGATAAGTTAATCATGTCGTCAACCAAAAAAATATATTGTTTAAAATACCAATTGAATTTATTAATGTGTTACCTTGAGGCGATTGAATAATATAAAAACTGGTTTTCAATAAATCTTGCGACATGAACAGTTTTCTACGTCAGAACCGGATTTCGGATATCACTATAACCGATTTTCCGGATTCGTTACCATGTGCTTGGTTGGATTCTTCTCGTCCTTGAGATATCTCAACTGTGCTTTATAGATACATCCAAAGATATATCTCCAATAAAATGGCCGCATTTACATCTTTAATTTGTTATCTTTTAATCGCCCTGAGAGAAGCCGAAAACTGAAGCAAATGGAAGCTGATTGTACAAAGAGCCACGAAGGGCTTTCAGGGACACGACCTTCAGCAATGAAGTATGCGACTAAGAAGAAGATGAAAGCTTTGTCTCTTTGATGTGGGTCCAGAAGTCTTGTGTTTACGGCATCCATGACTTCATAGATAGAACCCACTGAGTTTCTCGCTGGATCTTCTCAGCGGGTCGCGATTCCGATCCGATGGTAGATTCAGGGAAGCACTGTTCTTGCTAGGGCTAGTGTTAGCAAATTCTTTCAGTTTGAGCCCGTGAGCTCACCTACCCGTACGGGGTAGATGGAATAGTCTCTTAGGGTACCAGTTGTCGTAGGAAAAACGGCATCACGACAACCGTACGATTCTACAAGTTTAGATTGGTTCAATGCATAATTTGACGAAATCAAACCAACCTAAACTTGTACTAGTAAACGACCCGATAATGTTTTTGAGGAAAACCGACATTGAAATTCTTGCAAGAGAATGTTCAAGATTTACACTTATATATTTTATCAAATACTTCGCGCTGAACTATAAATATGAACTGACTGTTAAAAAAGTTATATATGAGTTGGAAACAGATAAAAAACTAACAGATTTAAAAAAAAAATTGTTGAAGTTTTCTAACCTTAATTTAACCTCTTCAGAGACGATTTTTTTAAACGTACAAAAAATTTGATATTAATATAGTTTTTTCTTTATAGCTCTTTGATCGTTTTGTATTGAAAACCAATCGCGAACAAAACCAATTAGCGAATATAGTGAATATTCAGTATAAATAATTATGTCTACATTAAAGGCAGAGTTAAACATACTATTATAATCATTTAAAGAAAAGTAGCACATACGTGCTAATGTCTATGAAGAGGTTAAATTAATTTTTCAAATACGGGAATGCTCGTAAATACTCATGCGTACTCACCTTTACCCAGAAACCCAGTGCCACCGGTCACAAACACACTCTGATCAGCGTAAAACTGCTGTATTTCTGTCGTTGTCTTTTTACCCTTGGTCAGTCTACGTTTTTCTTCTTCTTTGGCGTCAACCAAGTCTTCGTCGCCGTAGCAATTGTTCAGCCGGTTCGCGGACACGAATTCGTGGTCTTCGGAGTAGTCCAGCATGGGTGCTGTCGGGTTCATCGCCTGGTTCTCCACATCTGCGATGCGGACAGCGGTTTCTAATTCCTGAAGAGAGTTGGATATATTTGAGTATTTGGTAGAAATGGTCCTAAGTGGGGAAGGCTGTACCCCAAATTTGGTGGGCTCTGGTTCTCTCATAGCATCAAGTAAGGATCAAAATCTTTAATAAAGCTTTTAAGGGGGTCTTAACGACAGCAACGTTTCTGTTTAGTGCTGTCGTGACGAAGAGTGCTACCACCAGTTTTACTAGTACACCTTAAACAGGCTGAGAGGTGCAGGGAAACTCAGACCCCCCAGCTGTTGACGAGCGGTCGTATTAATAATTCTCAGAGAAGACCAGACATACAGATGACGAAACAGCTCGTTTGAAGACGCCCTAATTTTTGATTTTTCACGAATGCTCTTTTATGATTATAGATCTAACCTTATTAGTTGTTGCCCAATACGACTTTACGGATCCTCCCGATCCATTAACGGTGGTTTTAGTTACCACAAGCACCGGTCACCGTCCTCATCAAACCCGTCGCTTGCGACGAAGAGCTCGATGAGCGAATCAACCTACAGACACAACCCACTGAGTTTCTCGCCGGATCTTCTCAGTGGGTCGCGTTTCCGATCCGGTGGTAGATTCTGCGAAGCCCTAGCTAGGACCAGTGTTAGCATCACTCCGGTTTGAACCCCGTGAGCTCACCTACATGTTAGGGCGAAGCTGATATAGCCTCTCAAGGCTATCAGCATTGGTAAGGAAAAAAAGTTGTTAAGTGGATACATTGATTTCACAGTGTAAACACCGTGAACCTGCTCGAGACCTGAGATCAATTTTATGACAGACCTACGAATGTAACACCATGCACCGGTACCATCACCCCACTCTTTATGGAGGGGCACATCCGTGAAGATTCACTGTACCTCCTCCTAAACCACTAATCTAAACGGATATCCTTGAACTTACATGCAAATTATCCTGCAGCTCTTTGCTCAAGCTCCTCACGTGTTCCAGTTCCCTGAGTTGCTTCTCGGAAGGTTTCCCGTAGACGTCTATGTCGATTTTCTGACCTTTCCTCTGGGCTTCCGTCCATTTCTCCATCCTCTCCGAGACGGGTCCGCTCTGGGTGAGCAGCGATTCTTCTAGCTCGAAGTTCATCCTTAAAAAGAGAAATTCTCGTTACAATCAAAACGAACATCCAATATAGTAGTAGTTTGGCGTTCATGTTGATGTCCATGAGCGGCAGCGACTATGCCTGGTGGGCTATATGCTCAGTTGTCTACGGTGGCATGAACATTTTGCGATACAGTGTATTCACAGTCACGACTCTCTGGTGATTTTGAGCACCCTGTATGTTTCTGAGGCATTTAGGCTTTTCCATTCCCGTTGCGATGTCTATAAGCTCTGATGTAAACTGAACACCAGGTTAGCCGTAACGAGCTGCAAATGCTATAGTTTTTTGCTTAAATGGGTAAGGGAACTGACGGCCCCTGGACTTCAGCATCAAGACAAGACTGTCTACATTCTGCCTTCGTCGCGTAAACGAGTACTTCGGTCATATTGCTCGGAAAACACCCGATAGCCTAGAGAGACTATTCGTGACAGGAAAGATCGAGGGAAGGAGGATCGACCAAATCCGTACCACACTAGAGATCCCATTCCACGAAGCCATTCATGCGGCCAATGATCGGAGGCGCTGGAGGGACATTACGAGAAGTACAATCCTATCGAAATATCATCATGGTCACGACCCTCAGCAGTGAGGAAACGAAGCGAGGATAAGGACTTTAGCAACGTAGCTGCCGTCATATACCATACAACGACTGCCCCGACTTTCAAACGCATTACTGCTTCACGTCAGATATAATATACCTACCCGGGCGGGCTCACAAGACGTCCTAAAACCGGTAGAACAAGTCATTTGGTCGAAATTAAGTCGGTTTAAATAAATTATCAGGCACGTACGTACGTTTGTATAATTAATAAGACGTTTTGAACTGTATTAACATGTAAATCTAAACGGTGAAAGATCGCGCGTTTGATCTTTGAACTTGTGAACGTTTTGTTTGACGATGGCCGGGGATTTGGTATTTAAATATTTTATTCAATTGTAAGGTCCTTTTTTTCCCTACCTAAGCTGATGATAGCCTTAAGAGGCTATTTCAGTGTAACCTTAACTAGTAGCTGAGCTCACGGGGCTCAAACCTGACGTAGTTGCTAACATGAACCCTATCAAGAGACGTGTTTCGCAGAATCTACTACCGGATCGGAAGCGCAACCCACTGAGAAGATCCGGCGAGAAACTCAGTGGGCTGTGTCTGTGCGTTAATTTACTCGTCGCGCCCTTCGTCGCAAGCGACGGGTTCGACGAGAACGATGACCGGTGCTTGAGGTACCTAAAAGCACCGTTAGTGAATCTGGAGGATCCGAAATGACAAAAGGTCCAACAGCCATTTTAATATTTAAGGAAAACGCAAAGTAACCGAGGGCAGCCGTAGCCGGCAAAGCTATTTGGTTATTTGTTAAGATTACAACAATAACAAGTGCTTTTTTTAATCGATGCAATGGTATCTTTTATTTTTACACCATGACACGCCACACCCTTTGTCACACACTGAGCTCCGCGCTTGTGTTTGATCTAATAAACTTCTAGCATCATTCTTCTTCTGAGTCGGTCTCTTCAGTACTGAAGATCGTGTCTAGTTTGAAGTGTTGATCACTCGATGCACTATCCTTCCCCACGTCTTCCTGTCCTCGGAGCTCTTTATAGCCTCTGTTATTGGCAGACCGGTGAGCGTCTGCGGGATCTTTTCCCGTCAAACTGACCAACTAACATCAGCTTTTCTATGTTATCGGAGTCCCTAAGAGCGATGGAGACCGAAGTACGTAAGAATACGCTGGAAGTAGATAGCGGACAGTCTTGTGGTCAGCATAATTGCAAACAGCATCATTACAAACTTGAAAATAATTATAATTACATAGCTGCATTAGACCTTTACAATAACAAGAAAGTGTATTCAGAAATCGACGTTGAAAATTAACAACAAGAAAATCCAGACGATAAATACGAAAGTAACTCTGATTTTCACGAAATTCCGTGTGACTAAACAGCATGCCTATACCTGAAGCATTTAGGACTGCCGAAGATAGATAAATCTGGAGAGGAATTGTGCGGCTGGTGATCAGAGATCAGTCACGATTTCCAGCAATGAAGATACCGACTCACGACCGACGCAAAGAAGACGAAGATAGATTAAGCCCTAGGATAGTGGGTGGGTTGCCGTTATCCTAATAATGACCATGGGTCTCTGCCCTCACGATGTAACAAGTTGAAAGATAGTTTTCAAACAGATAGCCACGTCTTCAAATGCGTAACACAATCGGTCACAATCACAATCACATATCCGCCTTCATGATTCGTTTTTGCTTAGACGCGTAAACAAGCTCACAGACCTCTTGTGAGTCCGCACGGGTAGGTACCACCCTGCCTATTTCTGCCGTGAAGCAGTAATGCGTTTCGGTTCGAAGGGTGGGGCATCCGTTGTAACTATACTTGAGACCTTAACTTATATCTCAAGGTGGGAGGCGCATTTACGTTGTAGATGTCTATGGGCTCCAGTAATCACTTAACACCAGGTAGGCTGTGAGCTCGTCTACTCATCTAAGCATTAAAAAATAAATAAAAAGAAAACCTCCATTCGGACTCCGTCAATTTTCTCTAAGTACGTAACAAATGTTTTAATATCTAAATTTATGAGTAAAAATTAAATATAAATTTTATAACATAATATTATTTGAAGGTAACACGTATTAGAACACGTAATTATAATAATAATCGTGCTGATCAAACAATATAATCACGTTTCATGCGGAACATAAAAGAAAATACGTGATATGGATTTATTTCATTTCACTGTCGAATTTCAATGTCGTTTAAAACAGAGCAGTGTGCTTAGTGCGAGTTTTTTAACGTTCTCGATAGCGTGAAAGTTAACTCAATTTTGTATGGAGTTGGAACGTTTGAATATGTTTGCTGCTAGGGGCGCTGTTCCAACTGCGTAGTAATTTGAGTTAACTTTTACGCTATCGAGAACGTTAAAAAACTCGCACTAATCACACAGTACAGTGTCCGATTAAGTGCGTGCTCATATTAAATAATGCTTATTTGATGCTAGGGGCGCTGTTCCAACTGCATACAAATTTGAGTTAACTTTTACGCTATCGAGAACGTTAAAAAACTCTCCCTAATCACACAGTACAGTGTCCGATTAAGTGCGTGCTCATATTAAATAATGCTTATTTGATGCTAGGGGCGCTGTTCCAACTGCATACAAATTTGAGTTAACTTTTACGCTATCGAGAACGTTAAAAAACTCTCCCTAATCACACAGTACAGTGTCCGATTAAGTGCGTGCTCATATTAAATAATGCTTATTTGCCGCTAGGGGCGCTGTTCCAACTGAATACAAATTTGAGTTAACTTTTACGTTATCGAGAACGTGTGAGAACGTGTTTGTGTGATTGAAGAATACGGACAGTTATGTTCTTTTGTGCGTTTGCTAGAGGCGCCACGCAGTTATGCCTATGCCTTGCCTTTGCAAGCCGTCGTGGCCTAAAGGGTAGTGATACAAAAATGACGATTTTTCCGAAAAATGTATAGTATATTATCTTGTTTAACTCATCCGTGATATAAGCATTTAAACAATACGAAATCGCAATAAAATTAATGTCGTTTAAAAATTAAAAACTATCATTGCTGCTGCTGTTTGTATATGAGTTCTTTGACTCCGTTATTATTTGTAACTAGAGGTCTATGCAAGTTTATTCGCGACCTACAGGATGGACCGGTTTTTATTAAGGATATTGCAGTGTGGCTACAAAGTTGCGCGTTCTATTTAGGTGCATTGGATGCGACGATAATAGAGGGGTCTGACAGAGAAGTGCGCTATATGCGAGAAGTACCCTATATTTTATTTTTATTGAAGGATTTTGTAAATTTTCAGAAACCACAAATTGATGAAATTTAATAAATTTGCCTATAGCAAATAAATACTTGTATGTTTTTATTTTTTATTTTCAGTGTTACACAATAATGAAATACCATATCTTTAACAACATATAAGTTTAGGGGTATCCGCTACAAGATGGCGCTAGTTTCCAGACAAACAAAACGATTTGTCTTAAAGTATCGCAGTTTCAGGGCCCCGAATAAATCAATACACGTACCACCTACACCACCGTTGGTTGGCTGGTAGAGTACGCCTTAGGTGTTAAGTTCGTTACTATACTCTTGCGAATAAAGTTAATCGAATAAAAAAAGTATTACAAGTTGTAAGTAGTGGATGTTTCAAGCCGGGCCTCCAAGCGATCCGGGCAAGGCCGGCCTGCCTTGTTCGCAGGCCGGAACGTATGACTAATTAACGCAAATGATGGCAGATAAATAAATTACTATAAATAAATAAAAAAACACGTGTGGCACTCAGGGACTGCGGCGGTAAAGCTATTGCATAGCATTTTTTAGCAACTTATGCAATTATAATTAGACAATAATAATTTAATATTAAAACAATAATAAAATAAGACCACGCTATATTTATAAACATTAACAAAAGCAAAACATTAACTGTCCCCTTCACAGCTTAAGCTAGACCACGCGAGAGAGAGATGGGTAGACTTTTCATGATGCGCATGCAGTGCGACGTCACGCCGCGCGCTTATTCACAAACACTACACAAGCGCAACGTGTGAATGTGTTGAACACGAGCTACATGGTAGGCGAAGTGGGGGTGTTAGGTTTTATTTTCGTTACGGAATTTCTTGTCGCCGCCCTCAAAGCCTGCTATAAAAGCTATGCAATAGCTTAAAGCTATAACTGAAATTAGGGTTTCCTGTGTTATGGAAAGGTAGCTTAACAGCCTGGCCACGGGACATTCGCCGATGCGAATATTCGCGCGGTGCGAACGGCGAAGCGTCTAGCGACTAAAACAAGCGCATAGAAATGTACCTAACAAGCCACGCGCACCGGCGACCGGCGAAGCGACCGGCGAAATGTACCGAGCGAATCGCGCGATGCGGCGGGCGAGCAAAACAAATGCATGAATACGGACGGCGCGAGCCACGGAGTCGAGCGGTAGTCGCGGCGAATAGTGCAGTGATTAA